AGGAGGCTCATCATGGAGGCCAGACCCCGCGGGGGAGCCATGATGCGCGTGAGCCGGACCGAGAGGCCGTTGTGAGGTTTGGGCGTGTGTGTGTGTGTGTGTGTCTTGATCGGGTCGGCACGAGCATAGGGAGAGTGGACGTGGGAAGAAGAACAATGTCTCAAGGCGTATAAAGAAATGACGAGAAAATTGATTATTCTATGACCATGTACAGCGTTGTAGTAACCCGACGTACCCTCCCATGCCTAGGGTATGAGGCAAGCCACGCCACGCCTGGGTCTCGTCCCGTCTTTTTCACGACAAGTTTCCCGTTTCTCTCAGGCCCTCCTTTTCTTTTTTTTTTTTTTTGCGGGTTATGACTTATACTGTGGTAATTGTTGCTGACAGAGAACATGATTGATAACCGGATGGTTCTGCTAGCCTGAAGGGAAAAAAAATAAGGACCGAAACAATGATGCAAGGGAAGAGACAAAATTAGCAATAGCAAAACGCCATATTTGCACCGACAGGTGGGGAGGAGAGAAAAAAAAAAAGAGTGGCATATGGGCCGGGGATAAGCAAATGTTCTTCCAAGAATACGTCTTCTTTTCCACTTTCGCACAATTCGATATGCAACAAGGTTCCTTAATCCCGTTGAAGGCCAACGTCCCAACAAAACAGCGCGAGAACATCGACGACACGCCGCGACAAACAGGGCAGACAGTTTGATGTCGAGAAGAACGGCCATGAATCATGCAAGTGGAGAGTGATGCCGGGCTGCGTTTACTTTGGGGGCTTTCAAAAGGGGCCAAGCCTTCTTGATGGAGAGCCCCGAGACCAAGAATAAAAAAAAAGGAGACAAGCCACCCAGTCTGTATCCAAGATGAGAAACGTAAAGGAAAAGAGGGAAGAGTGAAATAAAAATTAACAAGACCAAGACGACAGAGTCAAAAACAAAACAGATCCCAGCCAAATGATGGGCCGAGTGTGTGACGACGCAAGCGCGCTGCCCACAATGCCGTGGCAGCCGTCTCGCGGCCAGACAGTACCTCGACCCGAGTCTAGATACACCGCCTCCGTGTTGTCGTCCATGTGTGAGTGATGCAGAGTCAAAAGAGAAGACCAGGAAACGCCCGTGTAGTCGGCCATGGGGGTATTAGGGCGCCCAAAAAAGCTTGGGACTTTGTATCCAGAACATCTTCCGACGTGTTCCAAGGGGAGCGGGAGCGCGTGGGCGAGCCCATCAAGACTCGACGCTATGGGCGCCGACGACTGTCATTGGTGCATGACAGAACCAGATCGGCGGGCGTCCCTTGGGTTACGCAGCCGCGATCCCACCCTCTTGATGAAACCCTCCTTCTCCCGATCCACTTCGGTTGATCAACCCCCCCGCTTTCCTCCCACCTCCCCGATGTGGCCACGGTCCGTCACATGACGACGCAGGTTTCGTCTTTTTCGCCGCTGGCCTTCTTAATCTTGCCGTTGCGTGGTGGTGCGACTTCCATCGGAGTCCCGCCGCTGACTGCCGCACGGATGGCGGCAAGCCTCTGCTTCGCACGTTCGTCCCCAGCGTCGGCCGCCTTGACGTACCAGACGTTGGCCTCCAGGATGTCACGCCTGCATCCAATGCCCATCTCGGTGAAGTATCCAACTGCATATTGCGCCTTGACATTGCCTGTGTTTACGAGTCACATGTCAGCATGGTGACCTTGATCCTTTTGCTTGTGCGTCCATCACGCGAAGGAGCACTAGCAATGACACCACGGCGAAAAGGGGTGGGGTGGGGTGGGGAAAGACTTACCAAGATCAGCCGCGCGATGTGCCCACTCATAGGCCTCCTCCTCGTCCTTGTCCAAAATCGGCTCGGCTCCAACCATGTACCAGGCACAAAGACCCATCATGGCGCCGGCGTGCCCCCGCTCGGCGGCGCCTGTGTAAAAGTGCACGCTCAGGGCCGGGTCGCGCGGGCAGTTGAGGCGGCCGTGCTCATACGCGTCGCCCATTCGGAAGCTAGCCTCGGGATGGCCCAAGTCGGCCGCCTGCGTGAACAGCTCTGCGGCGTAGCTCTCGTCCAGGAAGATGTCGTCGCCGTAGCCCGTCTCGTACAGGCAACCCAGATGGTAGGGCGCCGCGTTGTAGATGGCGTCGGCCGCCTCGGTAGCCAGCTTGAGCCACTTGATGCCCTCGCGGTACCGCCGCTCGCCCAGGTCGCCAGACAGGCACGCCTTGCCCAGGCGGTTCATGGCTCCCGGGTGGCGCTTGGAAGCCGCGGTGCGCAGAAACTGCACCGCCTTTGCCGGGTCCTTGCGGCAGCCCCAACCGAACTCGTAGCAGAGCCCGGTCCGGTACCCAGACTCGGCGTGGCCGTGCTTGGCCGCCAGCACAAAGAGCGGGAACGCGGCGTTGTAGTCCTCCTTGCCCTTGCTGAACAGGCCCGATGCGTATCCGTCGGCCAGGTAGTACTGCGCAAACGGGTACCCCGAACTGGCCAGCTTCTGCAGAATGTTCTTGGCCTCTCGTACGAGCTCGTGCGGCGTTGCCACCGGGAGGTCGAGGTACGACGCGGCACCGGCACCGGCACCGGCACCAGCACTGCTGTCCTGCCTAACCTTGGGGCTCCCTTTCCTCTTGCCCGCTGGCGTCGACGCGGGGTCCTCGGCCGGGTCAAAGCCCAACTCCTGCGCCGTCGAGATGAGGAAGACGGCGAACGAGTACTGGATCGACAGGTCGTTCGTCTTCTTGACGTTTTGCCTGTACATCTCGAGCGTCTTCTGGGTGCTGAGGAGCGAGGCGTTGGTGCCGACGGCAGTGCGGAGCTGCGAGTTGTCGAGCGGGATGGGCGCCGGCGCAGGCTGCGGGTACGGCACGTTGAGCATATCCGAGTACGACGAGTTGCGCACCTCGGGTGATCTGCGCGACTGTGCCGACGGCGCCCTCATCTGGCCGTTGCCCGTCATGGGAGACCGCCCACGATCGGAATAGGCAGAGTACGCCGACTGCGGCCGGGGCATCGAGCTGCGACGCATGAATTGGTTAGGGGTCAGGTGACGATTTATCGAGCTGCCGGCGTTCTCGAGCAGATCTGGGGTCGAGGCACCCCTATGGTCGGGCTCCTGGGCTGCCGCGGGGATGGTTGGAGGGCGTGGCAGGAACTGCTGGTGGTGGTACTGCAACTGGGGGACCGACTCTGGCCGGACGGGTGGCTCGATCACGGAGCCCTCGGGTGAGGGATCGGCCGAGAGGTCCTGGGTGTCTGGGGTGTCGACGACAGCGCCCGAGGTGGAGCTGGCGGTGGTGACGGCGGACGAGGATGTGGTCGAATGCTGCTGTTGCGTCTGTGTAGTGCTCGCCGTCGATACGGTTTCGCGGCTGTCTCGGTTCTCATCGCGAGGACTCAGGTCGCCCCGATCTTCTAGGGCCTTGCCTTTTTGCATTTTTGACGATGGCGGGCGGCCATCGGCCTGTGCAAATCTCGACGAGCTGCTGACGCTGTCGCTTGGGCTGACCAGCGCGTCAGAGTTTGCGGCGGTCACGGATGATGTCGTCACTGGTGTGGCCTGGGGTTCGGACCCAGGAACCGACCGCAGGGATTGTTGATCCGCCATGATGCGCTGATGCTGCAGGTTGTGGGCGTCTTGGTGTTGGTGCTGTTGTGCTTGCTGGTGCTTCTGCTGCTTCTCCAGGGCTGGCGTATGGGGCGGCGGGGTGGGAGCATCCGGGGTTTTGGGAAGGTCACGGTCGAGGCGCCTAGGGAGTGGCGGTAGGGCGTCGTCGCCGTGGTGCTCAATACTCGCGTTGGAGGACTGGGCCCAGTTGTCGGGCTTGATATTCACCAGGACGGGCGACCGGGGAGGGTGTCGCAGGCGAGGCGAGTCGACGGACAACGGGACGGTGGGCAGCGGCTTGACAGCAGCGTCATCCCAGTCAAATCGCTGCTGGGGGATCTGAGGCAGGTCGTGCAGAGGCAGCGGTTTCCTGCGAGTCGGGCTAGACGTGGAAGAGGCCGAGGGCGGAGGAGATCTTGTAACAGCCGCCATGGCGTGCGTGCGTCTCGTTGGCTCGTTCAGCGGCGACCGCGCTCAATTACCACTCAGCTGTGTGGGTTGCTGTGCGCGTCCCTGGTCGGGCGATGCTTTGCCAGCTCCAGCTCTGTCAAGAAAAGCCACCCGGTCCCAGCCTAGCGCGCGTTGGGTGGAGTCTGCCAGCAAGCTGGGGCCTGCGAGGGACGTTGAGGGCCTTGATGCAGCGCCCTGGGACCCTGCGCCTGTCCAGCCGGCTGCCCAAGTCAGGGCACAACTGACTGGCCGCAGGACGCAGAACCAACCCGGTTGCCTAGTGGTTTTTTCGTCCTTGTGCGTCGACTGCTGTGTCCACGGCGGGGCGTGGGTTGGACGATGTCGAGATGGAGCACGAGCTGAAAAAAACGATGCGCTTGCTACAACAGGGGCTGCACAGCTGCCGTCATCTGCATCTGTTCGCGCTGGCTGCCAGGATTGTGACTTGCGTTGGACGGGCGGGCAGTTTGCGGACAGAACGTTTGCGCAAGGCGGCGGTCCCAGCCAAAGCTCTGGTGAGAAGCGACTGCAGGGGCCTAACGCCGAGCTGGGTTTCACGCCAGGGAAGGTGGGGAGGGGTGGTGAGTAAAAGAAATCCCAGAGACGAGACCAAGAAAAAAATATTGTCGGCCGTAGTGGCTTGAGGCGGCAGGCGGGAGTAGAAAAAAACAAAAGCAAAAATATTCAAGCGAACGGCGGTTGATCAAGCGAATGAGTTTTTGTCGGCTGCGGAGAATTCCACCATCAGTGCGAAGCCAGAGCGAGAGACAGAAAACCGGAGAAGGATTGTCGGTCCTTGAATTGCGAATTGCGAATTGCCGCTGCGACGTCTTGTCCGCGTGCCTTCCTCAGCATCCCTTCTGCCTATCACTTCCTCCGTCACTTACCTGACCTGGCGTTATGCGACATCCTGGCCCGAGGCTCGGCGAGCAGACTGCCCTGGAGGATACGAAGTGGCAGCGCAGGGGCAGACACACACACACACACACACTAGTGACACCCACCAGTTAGAACAGGAATTCCACTCCCCGTTCCCAACCAATATTTGCGCAATACTGCTTGCCAATATCACTCCAGCAGCCCGATTTAGACCTAGAGGCAAGCTATAGCTGCCACCAGGCACGTTTAGATCCGCTCACGGGCGACATCAAATCGTCGTCGTCATGCCCATTGACAGCCCGGCTAGACGCAGATGGGCAGGCCAAAGAATCTCTGAGAATCCCAACACTTAGCTCAATTCCCCTAGGAGGCCCAGGCGGTCAGGAGTGCCGTGTAAGCGCCAAGCAGTGGCACAAGGAGGAACAAGAAGGGAACATCTCAGACCAGGCTTGATGCAGCCATCACATCAGCTCAGATGTTGCTGCTTGCTGTCGGCTGCCTTACCCGGATCGATCAAGCATGAAATCCAGACCCCGGGTTAAGGCCGTGCCTTTGCTTCTTCGTCTCCAAACGGAAGCCCGGACGACGCCACCCGCTGGCTTCCCACCGACCTTTGGGCTATTCGGTGGCCGATCAGGGTCGCATTTCGCGCGCACCGCAGGCGGTTGGCAGATGCGCTAGGAGGCCTGGAGCATCGAATCTATCAGAACCCTGGCCGCGAACGGTGAAGGATGCAGACCAGCCGGGCCTGGCCCTGGGTTTACCTGTGGTAGTGGTTAAACTCGATTCGTCGTCGTGCACCAACACGCCATGAACGTCGGGTGGTCGGCCAATGGAAGAAACCTGAAGCTTTTTGTCCTGCGTTCCACCGTGGCATGCCAGAATTCGTCTCGTGGTTCGGATGCACATACGAGACGGGTATGTTATTCCTGTCCAACCGTTATACACAGTACTGCGGATCCTGGCCTGGCTTGTGTCCCTGTAGATGCGGATCCCATGCTCGGCAGTATTGTTAAAGCAGTATTGCTAAAGACTCTTACCTCCACCAACCTACCTATCTACCTAGGTACCTAGAAACACCTGATCGCCATCGCCAGCTACCTCTCAACCTCTGCTACCGCGCCCTCGGATCGCTGAACTCGAATGGCTGGGACAAGTCCCGCTCAATGTCCGATCCGAACTCTGCCCCAGCCCCTGTGCATGCCTACAGTCCCACCCATCTCTCAGCCCAGGTGCCCAGGTGCCGGGACACTAGGCATTTCGGTCACAGTGATATTTCCGGCTTCGTGGGGCCAAATCCCCTCCTCCCACAGCGAATCGAACACGACGGTGGTTGTATCCCTTCGTGTCTCGGTCCACATCGTTTGGCCGCATGGCGTCGAGGGAGCACCGAGATGACGCGGGAAGGGAGCCACAGAAGCGCCCGGCCTGGTGCCAGCTCCCGCGCGCGACTACGTCAGACTGCCTCGACCTTCTGCTGTGTATTGTGCGCAGACCCAGAAGAGAGTTTGGTTCTGCAGGTGGACACTCACACGTCGCACCCAAGGGGAAAAAAAAACAAAAAAAAACAGCGCCCCGTGACACCCAACAGGTAGCACTGGGGTGACTGGCAAAAGGCCGTTTTGCCAAAAGCAGCAGCGCCGAGCACCCGCCAGTTGCTCCCTCGAGCTTCGAACCTGGCGGCTGGAGGCTGGGCGTTGCCGAAAATGCGACCCTGGAGATATTTCAACCCCACAGGGCCTGGCGAGGAAACACCCTGGACCCCAATTACAGTAACATCGTCGGCACATGTCCGCCCAGCTTGCACTTACCGCGCTCCACGAAGCCCCTCCTTCGCCATCTCCCATTTCTGCTTGTGTCATCTAGTCGGAGGGGGAGTCCAACGTTCTCCCTCGCTGCCTGCGGCCCACGTGCGGAAGGACAGCGAGTGCGGTGCGCGAGGAGATCCCCACCCAAGAAAAAAAATAAAAATAAAAATAGAGAGAGGCACAGAGGCAGACGGCGCACTGACGAGCGAGCACGAAAGAGATGAGCCATGCTTGGGGGTGGGTTCGCCCAGGCGAATAAGACGGCGTTTTTCAGCCGCATTCCGCGCTCCCAGACCCATCCGCACCATCAGACGAGCGAGAGAGGAAGGATCGGCTGCGGATCTGATTCGTGTGTCTCCGCCGCTCTCTTCTCACTTCCCCCTTTCCAGGACGGACAATGCACAACATGGCGGCGCGCATCGCAATGCTGACCCCGTCCGGTCATGGTGGTTGCCATGACGCGGGCACGCGCGGGTTCTCAATCGGGCCCGGGTGTCCGGCGACCAGATGCTGCGTGTCCCTTCTCGATTCACCTCGAGACAGCCCCCAGTCAGCCAGCAGCTTTGCTGGTGGGTGATGGTGGCCCGGCCTGCCATGTCCGGCATGGCCACGGTTTGACTCGCAACGCGCGTCACCCCTGCGGTAGGGCTCAGCGTTAGCGCGATTATCAATAACATTGGACGACCAGGATAGGCTGTTCCAAAAGCCAATATCGTCAACAGGCATCGCAGCAAAGCGGAGCCGCAGATGTGTTTCGTCTCGACTGGATTACAGAGGTCGGAAGGCTCCCCGATTCAACCTTAAAGCAAGGGCTGCCAGCAACCTCGTGTTGTTTGCCCTGTCGGCAGTGGTACGCCATCTCGGGCAGCTCATACGCGAGAGCAGCGACTCGACAATTCCATCCTCCATGGTAGAAAGGACTGGGAGCTCCACGACTGGGACCTGGGCAGATTGCGCCGTCGGCAGACCAAATAGGGGTCCTTTGTGATCTCCATCTCGTGTTTATTTATAACCCCTCCTCCACATCTATCCCCTGCTCACCGTTCATACGACGATTTTGCACCGCTAACCCCAAAGCGGGGGAGCTTCATCATCAACGAGGCTTGCTCCAAGTGGCATCGTTCCAATAATAACGTAGCGGATCTCAACAAGGCCGGAAATAGGTGTCGGCTGCATGGGCAGGCGCCGGATCTTTGCAGTCACTCCAGGTGGATAAGGTGGTCTAGCATCGGGCTCGCTGGTCAGGCATGACTCTCACCAACAGGTAGTCAATATGCTGTCATAGGGCTTTCGAATCCTCGCAAAGGCCTTTGGAAGGTATGCTGGCTTTGTTTGCTATGTGACAGGGAACACACGGATATACCTTGTAGACGGTTCGGCAGGACGCCTGTGCATCCATCGTATCGTCCATCAACCACACATCAGAGGGGGCCAGGCCACACCGGAATGTAGCAAATATGCAACTTGACCATTCTCTAACTTGTGATCGACAGTCAGGGTCTGGGGTAACAGCAACTAAATCTCAAGGTTGTTGAGGTGTCACCACCTGGAGTAAACACATGGCCTTGTCCCTGCCCAGGTTATGGCGAGCCCTGTGTCGGCTGAATCCCTTGTCCTTCTCCAAGACTCCAACCGCGATCTCGCACGTCCACTGGGCTGGCGGGGTTCAGGGGAGAATCCGGGGCAACAGAGGGCGGACGCGGAGATCCAGTGGTACAGGCCGCGGAGCGCCCGGCACATTTAGGCAAGAGAATATGAAACCTCTTGCCGGTGCCCGTCTCCCCAGCGCGGGATGCCGTTCCGCGGGACGGCGGGCTGCGACTACCAAGTTCGTATATTTATATGGGCGCCCAAACGCAACAGCAATGCCGACGGCAGGGCGGGGGACCCAGGCCGGGACAGCGCCAGGTTGCGTTGCCACGGCGAACAAACGACAGCGGCAATGGCGGCGTGATGGCTGATACACGGCAGGGCGGCGCCTGTTTGTCTCATGCAGTGAAACCCGTAGGAGCGCCCAGAGGCGTGGCTAGGCAGGTCACCAAGGCGTCGCGTTGGTCGTGACAATCCATTGATGCGCGCCGCCGTAGAAGGACGCAGGGAGCCCACAAATAGAAGGAGGGCCAGGGGTCGGTAGGTATGTGGTGATGTCAGCCCGTCAGCGACGGCGCCAACACGAGCTGGAGTTGCCCTGTCGAGACGAAGGAATAAAGCCGGGGCCCCTGAGCACACAGTGTGGGCACAAAAACCTCCGCCCCCCTCATCGCCATCCATCCCTTCGCCGACGGAGCGAGCTTGTACTACGACAAGACGCCGACTACTGAGCCGCGGGCAACTGCCTCCGCTTGTTCTGTTATCGCGAGTTCGTCAGTGATACAAACGCACCCGACCAAAGTCGCTCTCGGGTCTGGGCGTCTGCGGCGGGGAGGCGGCCGCAAGAGAGCAGGCCTAATCGTCGCTCCCATTTTGTGTTACCACCGCCGTGCCACCACCCATTGATGTGGGAGCTGCGACCGTGCGAGGTCCGCAATGTCTGAGATGGAGGGATATGACAGAAAATATAGGAGTGAGAAAAAAAGAAAAGAAAAAAAAGAAAAAAAAGAAAAAAAGAAAAAAAAAAAGAAAAAAAAGAAGAAAAAAAAGAAAAAAAAGGAGGCGCCCGATAGGCGACTCCGGACCAAATGATAGGCGCTTCTCGTGTTTTGAACCCCAAGGCCAGAACTCTCCTTCTCAGCCACACTCAGTTTCTCCCGTGCTCGTCTCTGCAAGAGTTTTCTTGCGTTCCAACCCCAACCTATTCCTTTCCCAGAGGAGTGGTCTGGTGTCACTCGTTTCTTGTCGGCGCCGTGTCATATTCGATCGCTGGGCACGCCAGCCTCGACTTCTTCCATCGTTGCCCGGGCAGTGCGTTTTAGCCCGTTTCACTCTTTTTGGCAGCCGCCGTCCTCTTACCGCGATCGTTTGCTGTCTTTATCGTTGAGCGTTGTCGGCCTGTGTATCAGCGCGGCCGTCGTCGTTTCTTTTCGATACTCGTTTCCGCGTCGCATTCTCCGTCTCGTATACCTACCTTGGACATATTCTCTCTCTCGATACCCACGCCACGACTCGACGACCTTTGCAGACCTTGATTGGTACATGCTAGCGAGAATCCGCTCAGCGCAGTCAGCCTTCCAACATCTCAGCCCGGCCGTCCAACTTTTGCAGCCCCGACTTGGTTGCCATCGAAACGCCCTGTCAACCGGCATCTTCATTCGCTCCAGCACCGAAAAGTCCACGCCGCGGTTCCCATAGCCTTCGATGTTGGACCATCGCGTTGGGTTGGCCATTTAGACTTTTCGCCAACCGCACGAGGAACCGTGCCTGCCCTCGCTCAAACCTCACATAACGAAGGAAAGGCGACGCGCAGTGGGCACCAAGCTTCGTGCACCTACTCATTTGCGGCCCCTGCTTACATACGAACAAACGACTCCGCTGAGCAGGAAATTTGGGCAAAAGAAAAGGGCGACTGAATCTGCTCATTGAGTCTACTCGCCGCCTTCCATTGTTGTAGACGACTGGACCGAGGGCCAACTCGTCAAGAGGAGGGATTTTGCCTGCTCTACTCCAAGGCGTTGGACTCGGGAGTTTCTTGTTTCTTCGAGGCACGGTGCCTTCAGTCCCGCTGCCGGCGCCGCTCGGTCGCAACACCCCATTGGTGCCGCACGCCTGCCTGCGGCCCGTCGCCCAAGAAACCCCTGCCAGAGCGCAGGGATTGCGGGCAAATCCACAAATAATCCTGCTGGGCCAGCGCTTCTCCTCGCCATGTCCAATCGAGAGTAGGTTCCATCCTCGCCTCCACCACCACCCCCGTCCGCAATCAAAATCACAACAACGGCACGGGCAAGCAAAGGAGACACGCTTGTCGTCGTCTTCAATCCGCCGCGCATCCACGCGGGTTTTCAGACCGACGAGATCGTCACCGCCTCGGCCTCTGCCCGTGGTGTTTTGTGGCTGCAAAGTGCTTGTTGCTTTTGCGACGCTTTCCTTCTTTCGTTTTGCATTTCTCCTGCATTCGCAGCCCCCCGGCCTCCGATCGTTGTTTATTTGGAAATTATCCCCAATAGGGTGCAGTTCCCTCCATGTCCTGCTTTGCACTCTTGTCGCTAGCCATTGCACAAGACACACATGCGATCGCGCTTCGACGAGCTTGACGCTGACAGGGTTTTACGCCATTGTGTACAGGAACATGTCGCTCCCAGAAAGACCTGGAGGGGCCCCCTACGACCAGAGAAATGCCTATAGGCAGTCGACGTCGTCGCGGCGCCAGCGCCCTGGCGACATCGACCCTGCTGGCTATTCCTCTGTAAAAGGTGGAGCGCATCAACGTGGGATCTCGGTCAATTCCTTCGCCGAGACGATAACATCGCCTAACCCGAACATAGAGAGCGCACCTTTATCCCCGACCGGCGAACGAATCGAGCATGGCGACACGCAGCCGTTCCAGAGGAAGCGGAGTCTGATCCGGCCCGAGAGGAACCGGATTGACAAGGACCACCCCAACTACCACTACCGCAAGCACGCCGCCAAGATGGCCACTCTGCCCTCCTCCACCGGAAACGACCCCGTCCTCGAGGACATCTCGGGTTCGACCGACCGGTCTGGGGGTACCGGCGAGGGCTCCGGTTCCGGCTCGGGCGTTCGCGAGGAGAATATCCCGGTACGTAAGACGCGCGGATCCGGCCGCGATAGCGAACCCGAAAAGTCTTCTCGTGCTAGAAGACGCACTTCTGCGCGGACTACCAAGATTGTCAAGGAGGGCAAGGGTAAGCGTAAAGAGAAGATACCCGAAAATCTCCGCCCGCCCAGCGCCTGGAACGTCTATTGCGCCATCCTCACTTTCTGGTGTCCCGACTTCATCATGAAGTGCTGCGGCATGCCGGCCAAGGCGCAACGGAGAGCCTGGCGTGAAAAGATGGGCCTGATCAGTATCATCCTGTTCATCATGGCCGTCGTGGGTTTCCTCACCTTTGGCTTTAATCAGGCCGTCTGTGGAGGCCCCGGCATCCGCCTGCACCAGAACGAGGTTGGCAACAACTTTATGATTTTCCACGGAACTGCCTATGACTTTGACGGCTCCCACCATCCTGTGGCTGAGGGAATCCCCGCGCGTGCGGACAGGACGGGCGCCAACGTGGTCTACGACTTGCCCGAGAAGAACGGGGGCAAGGACGGTAGCTTCCTCTTCCAGAACGTCAACGGTAAATGCAAGGGCCTCATTACCAAGGCCAGCGGGTCGCCAATCCCTTCTGAAGGCGACAATCTAGGCTGGTACTTCCCCTGCCACGTTCGCAACCAGGACGGCAAGTCTCTGCCAAACTCTACGTATCCGCACTACTTCGGCTATGCTTGCCACACCACCCCCGAGTCCCGCAGGTCGTTCTATACGGATCTCAAGGGTAGCGCCGATGTCTACTTCACGTGGAATGACATCCGCAACGACACTCGCAACTTATTTGTCTACTCGGGCAACGTTCTGGACCTTGACCTTCTGTTCTGGTTCAACCCGTCAGAAGTCAACATCCCCAAGCGCTTCGAGGAGCTCCGCGACAGGAACAGCCTCGCCAACAAGGCCATCCGCGGTCGCGATGCCACCCGCATGTTCCAGGGCTCGGGCGACAAGCGGAACGCCGAGTGCTTTGAGGAGATTATAAAGGTCGGCACAGTGGACACTGATTCCGTCGGCTGCATAGCGTCCAAGGTCGTCCTCTATGTGTCTCTGGCCCTGATCCTGTCGGTCGTCCTGACGCGTTTCCTCCTCGCCCTGATTTTCCAGTGGTTCATCAGCAAGAACTACGCTGCCGTCAAGACCTCTCAGACCTCGGACTCCCGCAAACGCAACCGGCAGATCGAGGAGTGGACCGATGATATCTACCGCGCCCCTGCTCGCATGCCTGGTGACATTGGCAGCAGCGTCGCCGGAGCCAGCTCGTCGGATCACACCAGCAAACGCACCTCGTTCCTTCCCACCACTTCGCGTTTCTCAACCGTGTACGGAGCGGAGCGAAACCCCCGCAACAAGTCCATGCCGACCACTATGGCCAGTCAGGCATCGGGCGGAAACCTCCACCCCAGCTCCTCGCTCTACCGCCAGGGTAACGATAGCCGTGCTAGCTTCCTCAAGTCCGACCCCTACTCCACGAGCACTGCACCGGTCGATGGGCCGGGTCCGGCTGGCTTTATACACGAAGCCGTCGTTCCTCAGCCCCCCTCGGACTGGATGCCGTTCGGATACCCGTTGGCGCACACTATCTGTCTCGTCACCGCCTACTCCGAGGGCGAGCTGGGTGTTCGCACCACCCTGGACTCGATCGCCATGACGGACTACCCCAACAGCCACAAGGTCATCCTCGTTATTTGCGACGGAATCATCAAGGGCAAGGGCGAGACTCTGTCGACTCCTGACATTATACTTGCGATGATGAAAGATCATGCCGTTCTGCCCGAGGAGGTGCAGCCCTTCTCGTACGTCGCTGTGGCTAGCGGAGCCAAGAGGCACAACATGGCAAAGATCTACGCCGGCTTCTACGACTACGGAGTCGAGTCCCGCATCCCGCTGGATAAGCAGCAGCGCGTCCCCATGATGGTCGTGGTCAAGTGTGGCACCCCCGACGAGGAGGTCAAGTCGAAGCCCGGCAACCGCGGAAAGCGTGACAGTCAGATAATCTTGATGTCCTTCCTGCAAAAGGTCATGTTCGACGAGCGCATGACGGAACTCGAGTACGAAATGTTCAACGGGCTTTGGAAGGTTACTGGCATCTCGCCCGACTTCTACGAGGTCGTACTTATGGTTGACGCCGATACCAAGGTCTTCCCCGACAGTCTGACGCACATGATCTCGGCCATGGTCAAGGACCCTGAGATCATGGGTCTCTGCGGCGAGACCAAGATCGCCAACAAGCGGGACAGCTGGGTGTCTGCCATCCAGGTGTTCGAATACTTCATCTCGCACCACCTCTCCAAGTCGTTCGAATCCGTCTTTGGCGGCGTCACGTGTCTGCCAGGCTGTTTCTGCATGTACCGCATCAAGGCCCCCAAGGGAGCCCAGAACTACTGGGTCCCCATCCTGGCGAACCCCGACGTCGTGGAGCACTACTCGGAGAACGTGGTCGACACTCTGCACAAGAAGAACCTGCTGCTCCTCGGTGAGGATCGTTACCTCACGACGCTGATGCTGCGCACGTTCCCCAAGCGCAAGCAGATATTTGTTCCCCAGGCCGTCTGCAAGACCACTGTGCCCGACAGCTTCATGGTTCTCCTCTCCCAACGTCGTCGCTGGATCAACTCGACCATCCACAACCTCATGGAGCTCGTTCTCGTCCGGGATCTTTGCGGCACTTTCTGCTTCAGCATGCAGTTTGTTATCTTCATTGAGCTGATCGGAACCCTCGTCCTCCCCGCTGCCATCGCCTTCACGTTCTACGTCGGTAAGTGTTTCCCTCTCTCTCTCTCTCTTCTATTTCGCGTTGGGTATCTAACAATTTTCTGCAGTCATCATCTCCATTGTCCAACAACCGCCACAAATCATCCCTCTTGTCCTCCTTGGTCTAATCCTCGGTCTCCCCGCCATTCTAATCATTGTGACGGCCCACTCGTGGACGTACGTGGCGTGGATGTTCATCTACCTGCTCTCGCTTCCCGTGTGGAACTTTATACTCCCGACATACGCCTTCTGGAAGTTTGACGACTTCTCGTGGGGTGACACACGCAAGACGGCTGGCGAGAAGACGAAGAAGGCCGGCATCGAGTACGAAGGCGAGTTTGACAGCAGCAAGATCACGATGAAGCGATGGGCCGAATTCGAACGGGATCGGAGGAACCGCAACAACTACTGGGGACCCGGCGCCGGCTCGACCGAGAACCTGCCGGGCGGCAGGGGAAGGTCCAGTGGTGTCTGGGCCAGTCCCCCGGGTCACCAGCAGTATGACGAGTACTACTCGGACGCATGAGTCTTGGGTTAAAGCTGGACCGAGTTGGGGAAGCACACACGGAGCTCCTTGGTACATTTGTTTGAAGAAAAAAGGGCACGCACGGGCACTGATTCACTGTTTACTTTCTTCCTCCCAAGTCGTTGAGGCATAGAAGCGTACCTAATTACCGTAATCGTCAGTTGGGCATCCTTACCTTATCCTTCCCGATTGGTTTCTTCATGTTCTTTCCCCCCTGTCAACATTCTTGGACAGTTCGATCAACGTTTTCCTCTCTTGTCCTTCTCGTTACTCTTCATGTAATTATCCGAGGTCTCGTTAGCAGGTCCTGTCGAGGCCGCTCGCGTTGGTCCTCTCCACCACGTTGCTTTTCACCTGCTAGGTTCTTACGACTGGCATGTTTGGATAGATTAGAAACAGGAATGGGTCATGGAACCAACCCCTGGCGGTTGCTTGCTTTTTTTCTTTTGCGTATAGCTGTTTGTGTCATTGGCTTCTCAAGATGTAGTTGGTCTTTCGTAGTCTAGCACCAGTTTACGGAACACGGCGTCAATGCCAGGTACTACATCCACCATTTTGTGTCCCTTTGGGCACGCGTGTTCTTGGCCATTCATCTCATTTTATACCATTGCATAAGTTGCACAGATGCTGTGTGCCACTTTCGAACGGGACCGTTTGGCTGATGCTGTTTGTGTGTTTTCGTGCTAGCGTGATGCACAAACGGACGGACTGTTGAAATAAATAAAAAAATAAAAACCGTCGTCGGGCTACGTCTTGATGTAGTCTCATCCGAACAGCAACCCGTGCGAGCTGCCTGCCCAACCGGGCTTGCGCCTCGCCGACCTGCACCAAGGCCGCGCTACTGGGTGACTGGGGGGACGGGCGGGCGTGCGTGCGTGCAAGCCTCTGTGGCCCGCCCTCCTTTATTTCCTTTTTTTCTTCTTTTTTTCTCTGCTTTGCAAAACCCACACACACGCCCCCCCCCTTGAGGATCGTCTGACCGGTGAGTGTGTGCGAAGGAGAAGGGGAGGGGAGCCCACATCGCCCGATCGGCCGCAGCACGGCTGGCCCTGCAGGTCGCCGAAAGCAGGGAGTGAGGAGGAGGAGGAGGAGAACGACGAAGGGCAACAGTCGAGGTGGGAGAAAGAGGGAGCCCGCCCGGAACGGCTTGGCAAGGATTGGGGGGAACCAAGGAACAAAAAAACAGGCGACCGGGTATGTAAGCGGCAGCGGGCGGGCGGGAAGTCTGTGTTTCCCACGAGGTTTCTTGGGTTCGGTGATTAAAAACGCTACCAAGACCATCCCCCATCCGCCGCTCCCCCCCCCGTGGTCATGCGTCTGGTGGCGTTTTTCTTTCTTCTTTCTGTTTGGCTTTTGTTTTATTTTCGAACTGGCAGGTACCCTGGGCCTTGACAGCCTGCCGCAGCAGTGCCAGCCGGGCACCGGCGGCTGGCGGCTGGCGGCATGCAGCGAGCGTCCTCCTCGCAGCAGTCAACCACAACGGTTACGTATTAGCGAGGAGCCGGTCACATTTCTCTTCTGAAGGGGGGGGGGGGGTGGGGGGGTAGGGACGGGGCCCGGCCGCGT